AATATTAGGCAAAGATTACTGGGTGAGATCTTCTTCTTCTCGATTCATCATCGGTCTCCAATGTGGAACAAGTAGTCTGTTTTCTCCTCTCCTCCGGCTTGGAAGCTGATTGATTATCTTCGGTTGCTTGGGGATTTCTTTTATTAAGCTTGGCTTGCTTCTTCGCTAACAATCCTTTCATCACCTCTGCGGATTGGGTTTGAGAAGAAAGAAAGCACCAAATTAGAGTTCCAACCACAATCAGCAGGAAACCCATCATCGTCCACATATTGTTCTTCTTACAAGGCTGCAGTGGTTGCACACCACCTGTTTGTGGGAAATGGTTGACCGAAGGAAACCTACCGGAAAGAAAAACAAACAAGGGGCGAGGGAGAGAAAATAAAAAGGTGCAAAGCTGCTAGCTAGGTTAGGCTCGGTGGTGGCTGTAGCTTGTTGAAGACTAGCATTGGCGGTGGCGGCGGCGGCGGAGGAAGCAGGAGGAGGGTAGAGGGTGGTGGAGAGGAAGAGAGCGACGTAGTGGCCGGGGTTGTTCTTCTCAACACTCGCTCTGTATTTCCTGCTGATTGTGGTTGGAAATTTAATTTGGTGCTTTCTTTCTTCTCAAAACCAATCCGCAGAGGTGATGAAAGGATTGTTGGCGAAGAAGCAAGCCAAGCTTAATAAAAGCAATCCCCAAGCAACCGAAGATGATCAATCAACTTCCAAGCCGGAGGAGATGAGAAAACAGACTACTTGTTCTACATTGGAGACCGATGATGAATCGAGAAGAAGAAAGAAATCTCACCCGGTAATCTTTGCTTAATGTTTGATAATTATAATGATTTTTTATTTTATTTTATGGTAAAAATGAGTTGGACATTAGAATAGATTAAGTTTTATTTTATTTATTTTTTATTAATTGCCACGTCACTAAGTTAACGGTCAGCTTTGAGAGTTGACTGCCACATCAGTTAAAGTTAACGGAGTTGGACGGAGAGTGACCAAACGTGAACGGTTTCAGTAAACTAAAGTATCATTAATGGATTTAAATATTTCAAGTGACCAAACTTGAACATTTTTTTAATCTCAGTGACCAAGCATGCAATTAACTCGAGTTTTTTTTTTAATTCTGATTTTGACTATATGGTCTATACATGATTTTTTTTATGTCTATAACATGAATTCTAAGACGCGGTTCTTAGTGAAGTTGTCGGATTAGACATGTTTTCTTGGGATTCAAATGTCACATGGTTGACCATTTTCGAGATTTTGTTGGGTAGTTATGAGCGGAGCATGGGATTCCAACAGTAATGGTTAAAAGTATGAACATCTCCCCCCAGTGGGAACGAAAATTCATTGCTCTAAGTATGTCATTAATTAAATATCGTGACTCGTGAGTGTATGTGAATGTTTTGTTAATATAATTAATTGGAAAAAGGTTGTTAGTGGAAACGACTATTGTTTTCCTCTTTTTCACTAACAACAATACTCTAATTATACTTTGTTTGCCACGACCGATCCAGAGGTCACAATCCAACCCCTTTTAGGACATTGGCAAATCGTGCATATTACTAGCGTAGGGTAACCTTCTTTCACTCTTTAGCAACAACACTAGTCTTTTGATGCTGCCTAGCTAGTTGGTTTCCAATGTTTCTTCCTTCTTTTTGTTAAACCCATTTTGCTTTTGTTGTTGAAATTTCTCCTAAGGTGACCTGGAAAATTGGGTAAGTCAACTTTTGTAGCTAATTACTTCAGACATTTCTAATGTATTGTTCAATTGAAAATAATAAACAAATGCATAGTTTATTAAAAGAAATTCTAAGATGCGTATATAAATAAAGTATACCGTCTAATTATCTTATTTCCAATATGAGTGAGAAGGAAAATTAAGGAACCCGCAAATATCGGTAAAACTATAAATATTGTTAACCAAGGAAAAGAATTTGTGCTAACATTCTTTGTCTACCTACTAACTATTTTACTTTCAAAACTAGTATTATTATTTTTACGCACCCTCCACTATTTTTGGTGAATAATGATCAATATCAGACATTCACCCAAATTAAATTTCTTTTTTAACAAAAGATTCTATAATTTCATTAGACAGCAATTTGATCAGGTACAAGATGAATCTAAAATATAAAGGTTAGAAGAGAGCGCCTACTAGCCATGTTTTACTACTTTCTAATATTACCTCGCTATATGAGTATATACATTATAACTTTAGATATAAAATTAAGAAGATATTTTAGTTCAGCATGAACTACATTATATTTTCGCTCCACCACTTCTACTAGCCATGAAAAAGACCTTTACGACACATATCTTATATAATCTGTACTCTTTTCATAATAATACCAACATAAAGGGGTCGTTTGCTTCATGGATTTATAAACGAGGGTTTTGTAATTTAAAAACCCAATGATTTATCAAGGATTTGAGGCATCATGGATTTGTAACAATCATTTGTTTGTTGGGATGTTTTTATCATGGATTTAAAGGTGTGGGATTTACTACTTGAAGTCAAAAATTACATTATTGCCCTTTTCTATATGTTTGACATGTTTATGATATGTACACAAAACAAGGACAAAACTTCAAAATTACCTTACTATCATTTTCTATATGTTTGACATGTTTATGATATGTACACAAAACAAGGACAATACATACTAATAAGCATAATGTTGCCACATGGACAATAATAATAAACGAGAAAATTCCGTTTTAACTTTTAACGTAATGTTGCCACATGGACAATAATAATGTTGCCACATGGACAATAATAATAAACGAGAAAATTCTGTTTTAACTTCTAACTCATGTTTGCACATTAATTGAACGTTTATATTATTCATTTATTGTTAATTATAATGTATAATAGTTAAATTTGAGGGCAACCTTGGAATATTAAAAGTGCATGAGGGTATATGGGTAAAATGTCATCAAGGATTTATGCCATATTCAAAATCCCACATCAACATGTGGGATTTATAAGTCCGTGAGGTCCACGGATTTGGACCCTTAAAATCCGTGGCCCCACGGATTTGGTCTCTAAAAAAGGTGCAAGCAAACAACGGATTGTACCTAAATCCTTGATAATTGGTTTTTTTGTACCAAATCCATGTACCAAATCCTTGAAGCAAACGACCCAAAAAATTTACAAGAATGTTCAATTATTATTCTTAAGAGGAAAATATTAGGGGAAAAAGCTAGTTAATCAATGGAAATAAAGAAGGGAAGTTAATTAAGGCCAAAAGAAACTAAAAGTTGGTGTTACAAGATTCTTCTTCTCTTTTGCCTACCGATACTAGTTGTTGCTTCCTGTGTGGATGTAGCAAGGCCACGTTTAACGACATCGACCCAATTGGAAAGAAAATGAAAGAACACAAGCAACTTACCAAAAATATAATAATATTATTAAAATAACATACCTAAATTAACTAACTAGTCAGCCTAATTATTCATATTATCATGCATAAGCATATAGAGCTGCCACCAATATTTGGTTATATTAATTAATAGACAACGGTCCGTTTCTTGCATCACAGAGATCCATACATTTGGGTGATTGCTAGCTAGTTGTTGTTGCTAATAAACAAAAGACTCTGTATCTTCTGTTCATCAACCAACCTCATATCGCCACCAATCTACATATACTGTCTGTAACTTATAATACATGATCAGATCAATCATATTGAACTTTCATATACCACTTTAAAGGAGGACCGGACATCGAACTTGTTGACCAAGGTTGTTACCACACCTCCACATTAGTTTGTTTCACACAAATTAATCTTGGATAAGCATTATCAATTTGAAGTAGGGTGTTAGAAGTTTGTGGATCTCACTATGATTAATCAACACTTAATTATGGTAAATTACAATTATAGTTGTGGGGTTAGTGTTGCTGAGTAGTGATTGCAATGGGTCGGGACTGGATGAGTACCTCAATACCCATATTCTTTGCGCACTAAGTGCGCGCCGGGTTGGGTAATACTCGCAGGGGAAGGGGTCTGACAGGTTGACCCATTCTTATATGTTATTTGAAAAAAGACTGTTGATATGTAACTCTTTTATAAGAAGGCACAGAGAAAGCACTTCATAAATGAATGAGAGATATAGTAGAATGAATAATTGAGTCTAAATAGTTTAAAGATAGAGTCTTAAAATTTATTTGAGATGAAAATATGAATTTAGAAAGGTCAAAAGAGGAAAAATATGTGTAGATATTGATGCAAATCATATGATAGAACAGGCGGGACGAAGCAAGGCACGTCGAAAGCAATACTCATTCCCTGCCTCACGCTACTACCGGTCAGGTAATAACCCCCTCCCCCTCAATAAGTCGGAGTTGGTCGATTCACACAAATCAGGTCAGAAATTGCCATCGCTATTGCTGGGTGATGATATATATTGATACATGACCAAACGGTAGAAGCTAAGTCTTCTATATTAAATTATAACACCGACTCTAAAAGTACCCATTTCCATAGATTAAAGCCACGTTGGTCAAACTACGTAAATGGTGTGAACAGACGATCCAAGCCTATAATTCAATCAATGGCCATTGTAGGTTTATAGGTGCTGAATCCGAGACCAAGAGCACACCAGGCGGAGAGGTTACGGTGATCACTATAAAATAGTAATCATCGTGGTTATTTATTTATTATTTTTTTTCTTTTTTGCGTAGATAGAGAAAATCATCGTGGTTACTAAGGGTAAATTGGGGATGGAAAATAAATTATATTAATTAATTTTAATAAATTACATTTTAGATAGTTACAAAAATCTACTAAATACAATTCTTTCTTTTTCTCTCACTTCCGTAATTTCCAGCCAGATCTTCTTCCATATTTTTCTCAATCTTTCTGCAAAAGAAAAAACACGAAATCACTACCAATCCATTATACAACCACTACCATTTTGAAAAACATCAATACCATTGCAGAAATAAATCTATACCATTACACGAAAACTACCAATATAAACAATCTATACCATTACAAAAGTCAAACAAATACCAAAACAACCAATACCACTACCTTTTTTTTTTGAACAGTACCAATACCACTACTACTGTGAAATCAAAACAATACCATTGCATAAATAAATCAATATAAACACTCCAAAATAAATACAGAGAAACTACCAAAGCATAATGCAAACACTACCAAACCAAATGCAAATAACTACCAAAACATAATGCTCCATCTAACTAACACAAATGCAGGTAACTATCAAAGCGTAATGCACACACCACCAAAGAAGATTCTGGGATGCAGCATATTGAATTGCCTCGTCCAGCACCGCCATCAGCAACGTCAGAGGAAGATTCCGAAGTGGCGGGTGAATCGTCATCGTCGGGGCGGTCCCGATCTGGAACGCGAGCATCCATTGAATTGGCAGCGGAATCATCGAGCGAATTGGCGGGGGCATCGTCCATTGAATTGGCGGGGGAATTGTCCATTGAATTGGCGAGCGTCCCATATTGAATTGCCTTGTCCAGCTCCGCCGTCAGCAACGTCGGAGGAAGATTCGAAAGTACCGGGGGAGTCGTCGTCAGGGAGGTCCCGATCTAGGAAGCGGGCGTCCATTGATGGTGTTGCAGCTTCTGAGAGAGAGGGAGAGAGAGGGGGGGATGCTAGGGATGGAAGATTATGCGAGAGAGGAGGGGAAGGGAGGAGGGCGGTGGAGGGGAGGCCGGCCAGCGGTGGAGGGGGTTCTCGGGAGGGAGGAGGGACGTCGGGAGGTAACGGGGGAGGGAGCTTAGTGGTTGGCGGCGGGTTGGAGTAGGGCAGGGTTTGAATATAATTTATAGAGTAATTAGGTGTGGTATATTTTTCAATTCCAAAATTACCCTAATATAATATGCATCGTTAATTTAAAATTAGGGTGAAAAGAAAATAATGAATGATATAGATTAAGGTAGCCACCGTGATTACTAAAAATCAAGTAACCACGCTAACTCATCTCGCACACTAGGTCATAATATTAGAGTTGGAACTATGTACTAAAGATGATTAGGGCGTGTAGATACTAACTAGTAGATGGGTGATGACTGATGACTGATGAATCACGTACTTGACAGAGTTCGTGGAGTGGAAAAGTTAGAGAAAAAGACAAGGTTAAAGATAAGGGGGGTTTTTTTTTTGGCCTAATCCATATAAAGGAGGTGGTAAAAATGCAAAGAGAAAAGAGGTGGACGTGATTTATAAAAAGGGCCAAAGACACGACTTTTGTTGGGTTGGTATTGAATTGGTTTTTAGAACAAACCTAACCCACATAATATATATCCTTCCCCAACAACAATAAGCCTACCTTCCTCCACTTAATTTGGCTTTGGCTTTGGTTTTGCCCTTTTATTTCTCACCAAGTGTGCACCAGCTATCCCAATTGCTACCCTTGTGGTCCATCATCCCAATATCTCCACCTTTTGTTGTTTTGATGTTTTTCCCCCTTGCTAAATAATTAGTTTTCTTTCGTTTACCTCTAAAGATTTGGTGGGGGGACTGGGGTTAGCATGATGTTTGGGTATGGGCAGTGACGGAGTTAAATTTTTTTGAAGGTAGTACGTTGGTGAATAAAAAAAAACTTGAACTTGGAGTGTATACAATTTTATTTTATTTCAAAGCGAGTTACAATGATTTTTATCTCTAAAGATTTGGTGGGGGGGGGGGGGGGGAATGGGGTTAGCATGATGTTTGGGTATGGGCAGTGACGGAGTTAAATTTTTTTGAAGTAGTACGTTGGTGAATAAAAAAAAACTTGAACTTGGAGTGTATACAATTTTATTTTATTTCAAAGCGAGTTACATAATTAGTTTTCTTTCATTTACCTCTAAAGATTTGGTGGGGGGACTGGGGTTAGCATGATGTTTGGGTATGGGCAGTGACGGAGTTAAATTTTTTTGAAGTAGTACGTTGGTGAATAAAAAAAAACTTGAACTTGGAGTGTATACAATTTTATTTTATTTCAAAGCGAGTTACAATGATTTTTATATTATGAAATGTTTGTAAAATATAGTCATTGCTTACTTTGTTACTCGTATCTTTTTTCAAACTGTACAACCAAAGAATCATTGATAAATTGGTCATTATGATCCAACTTTGAAGATCATTTTTTTTAATAGATGGTTGCAGTACTGCATCTCAGCCTTCATTCAAAACCAATTGGGACTTAGAAAGCCCCTGAGAGTCATACACAAAAAATAAGCCAAGTTCGGATCTGAACACAAAATGGGATTTAGCCCAAACGGCAAAACATGGCCAGAACTAGCCAAGTGGTCCGCGCATTTATTCTCCTCTCTATAAATATGGGAAAAGCACACTTCCCAAGGATGAGTGAGCAGCTCTTGGAATCTCTGGAAAATGGTTGTCTGCTGATGATCAGACTTCTCGCTGCTCTGGAAAAGCTGAATGGCGCAAAGAGAACCCAGCTCCACTCGAACATAGCGAAATCCCATGTTCCAAGCCAACTGCACCCTTCTACAGGGCATCTCAACTATGCTCGGGTGATAGAGAAAATACCCAGTTCCATCGCGTACGCTGCAAGGCATCGTCCTGAATGATCTCCGATCAGGCCACTAGCATCAGCGTGACCTGAATCAATAGAGACGGAGCCGTCCGATTTGAGAGTGACCCACTCGAGAGGTGGCGGCTTCCAAGAGATATCCACCTTCATTCTAATGGGAAGACAAGGCGTTGAAAACAACCTTGTCTTTGTTCAAAGCATTCCGCACTATATTAACCCATGCTCGGACGCGCTGAAGGAAGGTTGCAATGGTCATGATCTTGCCTGCGAAGACACGATCATTCCTAGTCCGTCAAAGGAACCAGCAAATGACGTCGAAGTCAAGGCTCATGTGTTCTTGCCGGATCTGGTGAAAGATCCAATCCTGCAGGTGGGCTATAAAGAACCGGTGGTGTTCAGAATGCTGAATGAGCTGCAACCAAGTTAACCTGGAAAAATCACAGTCCCGCAACACATGCATGACTGTTTCTGGTGCTACTTTGTAGTATGAACAAGTAGCCGAAGAAGACATGTTGCGCCTGTGTCGCTCCCCGTTCGTGAGGATTCTCTCTCGTGCTGCCAGCCAAAGGAAATGAGTCACGCGAGCCGGGCCACACTACCTTCAAATGGTCTGCCAGTCTATCCTGTTTGCCGCCCCTTGCAAGCTGGTATGTAGACCGAACTCTGAAGCGCTCATCTTTCTCCAGTCCCCAAGCCGCATTATCGCAGCCTGAGCCCTCCTGCGGCGGCTAAATACCCAGTACCTTCAAAACAGAAGCTTCGGGAAGATAGCTTCGAAGAAGAGGGACATTCCACTCACTTGAGGGGGTAGTGAAAGCTGCCACAAGGAGGGAGGGGTCTGGGGGCGTGCTCGTTTCCTGGACATGGTCAATCAACAGCTTCCCCGAGTCGATCCATCTATCATTCCAGAAGCTTGTCTCCTGCCCATCTCTAATGCTCATCCACATCCCCAAAGTCATGATTGGCCAGGCCTTTCGAATGCTCCTCCACAGATTGGATGCTCGCACAATGGACTTCGCCTGCATAGATCGTTTTTATTAACTTCATTGTAACACAAATTTATTTCACAGTTTGCAATTGTAATAGATGTATCAATTCCAAATTTTGAAGCAGTGTAACTCTAATTTTTATATTATAATACTATGCGATCATTATAAAAAACACATTTAAGTTGTGTAGGAGATTTTTGTTTCAAATTTTTTAATGATGAAACATAATTTTTTTCACTAGAATCTCGAACTGAGGTGTGTCAGTTGGATGAACGGAGACGTAAATGATCAACTGAGATTGTATGATGAATTGATGATGATTAGACATTATTAGTTTGTGTTTATATCAGTGTGAGATAATATTAAAGGATGTTAATTCTACGATTCCATGGGTCTGGGTTTTTGCGTTCTTCTTATATGTACAAGACCCAGAGCTATATACGTAATATACGACAATAGAAGCGGATACTGTGCAAACCTCCGATCGTAGCACCGTATCACAACATCGTGATACGATGATACGACACGATTACACAAATCGTAATACGATGATTCGACCAGAATTTTGCAGGATTTTGGAGAGAAAGGGGTTTTGTAACGGAATCCAGGCCTATCGCAATCGGAAAAAATTACCCTTTAATGATTCATAAAGTAAGGATCCCTTTTCTTCCATTCCATGAACTATTGTTCTTTCTTTCATTCTTTGTGTTTTGGAGCCGGCCCATTGATCTTCCGCCGCCGGCCCACTTCCGTATTACGGTTCTGCGCGTAGGTCGTGTCGTCCTACTCCTACCCGGTCAACTAATGGAGTAACGTTTTACGGTTGCATTTGGTGTAACAAACAAAATAAATATAATAAAAAAATGGGGTGTTTTTTATAGGATTTGATTTTGATATGTGGTGTGCGATCATAATTCATCACTTTCTATGAAAAAATATTCATCAACACATAAACGCACACCCCTTGACGAGCCATATGATTTTTACTATGTCATGGAACAGAACACAATTAAGTCTTGGTGAAAAAATAATAAATTTGTATGTATACCAAAAAGTTAATTTTTTTGACAAAAGATAATCATTAGATTGAAACCAGTAGATCGTTACATCATGGAATACAGCCAGGCCTGAAAATCAAACGATTGACATGTAGTCAGGAACAAAGACAAGGTCTTTCTAACTACCAAATGAGCTACCCTATTGTTCCGTCGACCTACAAATCGTACAGTGAAACCTATGTTTGAAGCAAACAAATTGACTATCTCTTCCAGAATTGCCCCTATTTGATTATCCCGCACATAGTTTCGGAGAATGTTCTCAATTATCACCTGGACATCACCTTCAAACCTCATGACCGTGAATCCATTTGTCAAACGCCAGCCAATCGCCTCCCGGAGGACCAGAGCTTCAACCATCATTGGATCGCCAAGGAACGGGAAATGAACCCCCTTCACAAGGATGACCGCTCTATCAGAATTGAGGATAACCATCTCCTGCCGCATGAGATCCCACCCGCACAGCACCATCCCACATACAAATTGCCGTGTCAGTTCCATCGGCAGTTACGGTAGGGGCCGGGGGGCTCACAAGCTGATCAGTCTAGTCCCAAGGTAAGCTAATCCATTCCTGGACCTGTTGGTGGAATTGTCGCATCAAGGCAGGGATCCCGAACTGTTTGCCTTCAAAGACCACCCAATTACGTTATCGCCGAATCCGCCACAGAATAGCCACTACAACATTACCTTAAAGTAATATATTAGTATTTTGCTATCTCACTTATTGTTATTTAATTGAAATAAAATCAATTTATTACACTATGATTTATATTTTGAAAAAACGACACACCCAATTTCAATTTCTAACTCTATTACTCTCACGAGATTCCAACCAAAAGATTATAGATATGCTATGCAAGCAAACGAGACCATGCATGCATATCGCACGCCATCAATTAATGAACCATCAACCATCTGAGAATATAATGTGTGTTATAGACAGGATGGCAACTTTGCCCATATCCATGGGTATCTTACTATCCAACCTAATTGGGTTGGGTATGAAATCCAAATAGATAGATATGGGTAGAGTTTGATGGGTTTGTACCCATACCCATTTAGTTTGGGTTGAGTTGGGTTTATATCAAATGGATTTGGGTTTGTACCCATGCTCACATACAAATTATAGTTTGGTACCCAAACTTAATAGATATGCAGATTTAGTACCTAAATTTATTTTTTTTGCATATAAGTCCTCAAAATATCGATGGAAAATTACGTTTTGGTACCTAAATTTTTTTTGTCTTACATTTTGGTACCTAAACTTTTCAAGTTTTACAAATAGGTCCAAATTTTGCATGTGTAGTTAAAACATCCTCAAGTAAATGGATATCCATATCCAACCCATACCCATTTAGATTATGGAAGCAATATTCATACCTTACCCATACCCATCTATAAACCCCCAAATCCATATGCACTTCACCCATACCCAACCCATTATCAATGGGTATACTTGGGTTTGGGTATTATTATCCATGGGTGGGTAATTTGCCATCCCTAGTTATAGATCATTCATTCAATATATTATATAGAGAAGCACAGTGTGGTCTCATTGGAACTAATTATTGTACATATAGATATACTAATAGTTAGTAAAAGGCTGCCGACATTGGCTATGGAACAAGTTTCACTAAACATCGATCTACCTCGTTG